AGAAAAACTCCTACAACGTGGTATTGCAGAAGCACAGTTGACTGTTAGAAAATTTATACAAAATAGAGACAGAGTGAAAGATTTGCTGTGCGAAGCTGACCTTGCCATCATGCCATCAAAATCAGAAGGGTTTGGACTCGTCGCACTCGAGGCCTTGTCTGCAGGTTTACCCATTCTTGTAGGCAGTAGGTCAGGATTTGCCAAAGCGTTAGAAAATGTTCCTTATGGTGATACATGCATCGTGAATTCAGACGACCCCGCAGAATGGGCAAAAGCAATAGAAGCTGTTCGTATCAAGCATGGAATGAGGCTTCGAGAGATAAAAGCACTGAGAGCATCTTATGGGGAGATGTACAGTTGGAAGGAGCAATGTGAAGCCCTTGTGAACAGAATGTGGAAAATGGGTCATGGTAAGAGTTTTCAATTAAGTACAGAGTGCTGATGTACTAAATTGATTATTTTGCACCAGATATTACTCTAATATAGTTTTCGTGGCACTATATACGCAAATATAAAAGTGCAGCGATAGTCTTTCACAAGCTCTGAATACGTGTAGTTCTTTACCCACATACATGTAATCGAGTGTACATGCGATCGCATAAGAAAGTCTCTCACGCTTAGGGCGGATAAAGGTTGGGCGAAGAGGGATCAATTTCAACTTTTCGTCGCGTACATTCACATAAACTAGATTTACGAGCAGCTAAATACTATCCAAAACAACAGTTTGACAAAACAACTTTAACTGCAAAATTCTCTTAATGCGCTGCACAGAAAGCAAACGCTTTTATTAACTTGGTTGGTTTCAAACACGCCACATTCGTCTAACTTTGTTTGAGAGAGAAGTGACAGTGAAAATTTGGTTACTGATTCATTGACAGTGGGAACAATAAAGACCAAAGAGTTATCAAGCCCACATAATGAGTTAGCTTACTCAAGTGTTCGTTATAAAGAAGTCCTGGTAAAAGTGAGACAAAATTTTATCGCTTTTGCTGTTAGTTTGGGTGGCCAGGAGCTAAAGTTCTTCCTCATTTTCTTCGGTTATTGAAGAGTTGGAAAACTCAGAACTGGTGGTTTGTGCGGCCATAAACCTGGACAAAACAAGCAATTTGTCTTCAAAAGTTGCAAACTGTGGTTATAACCTCCTTACTAGGGACGGACCATTGGAAATAACCGGAGGTGGGGTGACAATTCCCAAACAAAAATTCCTGCAAGGGAAACTTCTCTTTAAAAAAATCCTGCAAGCGGTGATACCTAAAAACAATAAGTCATATGCCCTAGAAAAAAATTCCTGCAGACAAGAGGGCTTTTAAAAAAATTCATGCACCAAACATTTTTCCCTCCGGTTATTTCTAATAGTCCGTCCCTTATTTAATTTTCTCGAAGAATACATCATAGTAAAACAGACTTTAACGACATTAATTTCCTTGCGTTGTTCTGGAAATGTGCGTGCGTGGGTCCGATTTTTTCCAGATGCATTCACAAAATGTGGTCATATAAGGAAGCTCCTGGATATAAAAGGTCCGGTGCTCAACTGTGGACACAAAACAAAATATCTTTGTATATTGATTTGCCCAAAGAACTTCACGCTTGTCCACAATGTGTTTTAAGTCACTGAACTTTGTCGCACTCGAGCTGTTATTTTAAAACCCAGGCTCGATCGGACACTTGTAGCTTCGCAGATCACTAAATTAAAATATAAACAAAATCGTCAATGTAGAGGATTTGGCTTTGATAGGTGGGCTGAAAAAGCGTTAACCTTTATCTAGTAAGATCTTCCACAAGATCGGTCTCAAAGCAACTATATTTTTTTAAGCTTGATCGTTTAGTGCGGATAAATTTTGCTTTGTGTTGTCAAGTTGAACATGCATATAAAAACCTGTCAAAAACGTATGCGTAAGAAAGATTTCCTTCAAACAAAGTTAAAGTTACATTATTGCACTTCTGTCCAGTTATGTATATGATTTTATTACTTACACAGGTCACTTTAAGGACCATAGACGCCACTTTAAGCTCTCAAAGAGATGAGACAAGCACAGAAGAATTCCATTATGCATAAAATTCAGCTTAAGTGAACTAAAAAAAGCGTCAAGAAGGTTGCAAAACAACAAATGTTCTTTAAAAAAACATAAGGCTTACGGCTCTTATACCTGCTGACAATGAAGAAGTGAATTTTCTGTACGAAAACAACCTACCTTAAGTTCCTAAAAGCAAAAGATCAGTTGCAAGCTTAGCTAAGCTTCGCAGCCAAGCCATGATTCACCATTTAACTATTTTTTAATCACTGGACCAAGCGAGGGTCTTCATTCAAACAAATTAAACTTAGCAAACTGAATCATTAGAAAATACAGAAAACTGCACATAAGGGTTTGTTTTGCTCGCTTCAGTCAAATCCAGCCCCAGGAATTGTTTACGGGCAAAGCCGTGAGTCAATTGTTTTGAAGTCACTGCAGGTAGTTGTCGTTCTCAGCTACTTCACAGCGAGTGAAAAGGAAAATTTGCG